AAATGTAAAAGTTATAAGAAAATGTGATTTTGCATAATCACGAAAAGATTAAGGAATTAGGGATTTTTATGCTACTATGGTAACAATATCTTCATAAATAACTTCATCTTCTTTATCAAATAAAATCTGTATAAGATTATAATATCAAATTCAGAAATATAATTGATCAAGTCACAGATATAAGTAATTTAGATTAAGTTACTTATTTTATAAAAGATTTAAAAATCTATTACAAAAATAGAATTCAGTTATCAAATATTAAAAATTCTAGAAAAAGCTTGAAAATTAGCTATTTACTATGATATAATAATATATAAACAAGACAGATTAATAAATCTATCAAGCAGATATAATAATAATAGTTATCACTCATAGAACTAATATAAAAGTTATTAGAATAATAGTTCTATACTAATAGAACTAGATCAAGTAAAAAGTTATTATAATAATAAAAGAAATAATAATTAACAGAAGAATAATAAATTCAAAAATATCTATTATAACTATAATAAATCAGATTATTTATAATTTTCTAGTTATATAGTGTAATATATCCAGATAATTAACATAGAAAAGTCAGGATATAGTATTATATTTGAGATAGAATTTACATAGAAAACTAAATTAAAAGCAAATAAGAGATTATATTTTAAAACTTATTCTTTATTCAATGTGTTGATACTTAAAATTACAGAATAGATATAGTATCTTTAAATAATAAATTAATATTATATAAAATTAATAATAAAAATAAATAAATTAATAATAGATAATACTTATTTAATAGTACCTTCAGAAGATGCTTATTAATAAATAAATAAAGAAATAAATAATTATAAATGAAATATATAAATTTAATAATATGCTAGCTAAATTAGTAGAACAAGAAAAAAGAGAAATTCTACTAAGAAAACTATCTATAGCTAAAATAACTCAAATATATCATGTGACTTTTCTTGGTATTATCAGATAATTGTAATGTAATAAGTCATGTGTGATACAGTATATAACATAGCAATAATCTGTAAAATAAAATATAAATCTAATATAATTATTCTAATTTTTTATATTATTTTATCAAGAATTATCATTCAAAATAAAAGTTCAGATTATAAATATTAAAAATAAATAAGAAGAATCTTTATAATCTTATAAAAGAGTAGAATTTACTTATTAAAAGATAACTATAAGAGATTATTAAAATTTAATAGTTAAGTAAATAATAAGTTAACATGAATTTTGCTAAATAGTGATATATATAAAAACTTTGTAAATAAGAAATTTGTATAGAAAAATAAAGTAAAGTTATAGAAAATAATATCAATTACAGTTAAACTTGTAAATAGCAAGAAGATAATTACTATTATTATGATAAAGATTGATAAGTTAAAATTAAATATATACAGAATATATAAGAATAATATATAAATCTTGAAATTATAAAGATATAATCTTATTCTAAATAAATCTTAATTATTTTATATTAATCTAATTATAAATTAGAAAAATAACATAAAATAATAAAAGTTCAAGCTAATAATAAAATAAAGTCTAGTTCTAGCTATAATTCAATTTATATCTCAAAATAGTAAATTATTAATCTATTAGCAAATGCAAAACTCTTTACTATATATTTAAAGATAAAGAAGAAGCTAAAGAAAAATTATTTTCATTAGAAGTATTAGAAAATAAAAAGAAATATAAAGATATATTTTTAGAAATCTTACTAAACTAATTATTATTTAAAAAGTTATAAATCATAAGATTGATTTTATCTTAGAATCTGAATTATCTTTCAGATCTATCTATAAATTTTTCTTTACAGAAATAAATAAGTTTAAGAAATAATTAATGATCTAATTCAAAAAGATTTTATTTATTCTAGTATTTTATCTTTTGAAGTATCAGTTCTCTTTATATATAAAAAGAAAGATTTCTTAAGATTATGTGTTAATTACAAAGTCTTAAATAAAATTACAAACAAAAATTACTATTCTCTATCAAGAGTTAATGAGCTTATGGAATGACTTACAGATTCAAAATATTTTTCTAAACTGAATTTATATTTTAAATATCTCTAATTTATATTACAGAAGAAAATATTTATAAAATAACATTTAGAATTTATTATAAATATTATAAGTTTCTGATTCTATCTTTTGATCTTATCAATATATCAGTTATTTTTATGACTCTCATGAATAATATATTTTATAATTATCTTAATAAGTTTATAATTATATATCTGAATAATATCTTAATATATAATAAAATAAAGAAAAAATATATATAATATCTTTAGATAATCTTGAAAATACTTTACAAGTATAAATTATATATCAAATAGAAGAAATATAAATTTATATAACAATATATAGAATATCTTGGATATTTTATATTAGTAAATAGTATATTAATTGATCAAAGAAAGATAGCTATAATTAGAAATTAATCAGTACTAATAAATATATAAGAACTTTATTTACTTCTAGTTACTACAGAAAATTTATCAAAGAATTTTCAGTAATCACATCATTACTCATAATACTTCTATATAAAAATAAAGAATATGAATAGTTTACTATAGTATAATAAGCATTTGAGTAACTAAAATAATATTTAATATTAATATCAATCTTATTATTATTTAATTTTAAATTACTATTCATAGTTATCACAGATACTTCAGATTTTGCTATAAAAATTATATTAAGCCAAAATTAGAGTAAGAGTAATTAACTAATTATATTTGAATCAAGAAAATTTTTATCTGCTGAATAAAATTATAAAAAGGAATTACTTATAATTATACATGTAATTAGACTTTAAAAATCATATCTTAAAGAGTAAAAATTTATAATTATTACAAATTATATCTTTTTGTAATATATTAAAACTCAATATAATCTTTTCAAGAGATAGACTCACCAGTTAAAAATTCTACAAGCTAGTAATTTTAAAGTTAAATACAAATTTGACAAAGATAATGTTATTATAAATATACTTTCTTACTAATTATATCTGATAAAAATTATAATAGTTATTATTAATCTTATTAATAAGAAAAACTTAATAAAGAAATATCAAGAAGACAAATATTTCATTAAAATTTATGAAGTCTTAAAAAATTTTAATAATATAATATCAAAATAATAGGTTAAAACAAATTACTTTATATTAAAAAAAAATTTATTATATTTGAAAAATACAAGTCACTTAGCTATATCAGATAATAAAACTTTAAAAGTCAAGATTTTATTTGAATTTCATAATATATCAATTATAGAATATATTAAAATTGACAAGATATATATGGCTGTATCTCAATAATTTTATTGGCTAAAAATAAATAAAAGTATTCATAAATATATTACCAATTATGAATCTTATTAATATAATAAATTTAGTAATTAATAATTCTTAGAATTACTTCAGTCTCTTACTATATCTAAAAAGAGATAAAAATATATTACTATAGATTTTATAATCTAGTTTTCAATTACTAAGTCTAAATATGGTACAATAGTTGTATTTATAGATAAATTATCTAAAAAAGTATATTTTATACTAATCATAATAATAGTAATTGCATCTGATATTGCAAAATTATTTTTTGAAAATATATTTAAATTATATAATTTATCTATAGTTATAATATCAGATAGATATGCTAAATTTATAAGTCACTTTTAGAAATTTTTTTGAACAACTAGAAATAAAACTTATAATATTAATAGTATTTCACTCTTAAATTAATAATTAAATAAAAATATTAAATAGAATCTTGAAAGAGATATTCAAGATTTATGCTATATTTCAATAAAATAGATGAAATAAAAATTTAGCTACTGCAGAATTTATCTATAATAATAGTAAAAATGCTTTAACTAGTTACACATCTTTTAAGTTAGATTGTAAATAAGTATCTTATATATTAATTAATATTCTGATACTATAGAATAATATTATAGCCTCTCTGAATTTCATAGATCATTAGAATATCATGATAAAAATTACTAAAGATCTATTATTAGAAGTATAAGATAGGTAAAATAGTGCTTCTCAAATCCCTGACTAATTCTCAAAATATTACTATGAAGTTTTTAACTGAGATTGCTAAGCTTGTTGTAATTGTCACCTGAGCCTAGTCCATGTCCATCTGATACAATAATTTCTGTACTCATCAGATCAGGTCAGTCAAATGGCATTAACTCATGGCCAATCAATTGTAATAAGTCTGTATTGGGTGCAGCATCAATCTTCTCTAAGCTGACTGCAATAGCCAATAGTCAAGTGACTTTGTAAGTATAAAGTTTATAGATTTTTATCGAAATCTGTAGTTTAATTATCTGAAATGACTGATGTTGATGATTCTTTTCAATTCCTCTAAACTGCATTTAATCAGAAAGACTGAGCCTTTAAAGAAGGTCATTGCATTAAGTTTGCCACTTGTTGTGTTGCTTCACTAGTTTACTTCTATGCTTCACTAGCTTGTTGAGCAGCTTTCTGCCTTAGTTCTTCGACTTGCTTTTGCAAATCATGAATTGGGGCTTGCGTCTGGTGGATCCAGCCAAACATCCTGGTCTTATCAAAACTGACTGTGTGGTACTCAATTTTAGCACTGCCACCTTGATGCATGGCGTGCTGGAGCAGGTGGCCCAAAATATATAAATCAGTACAGAAGATTTGAAGAATTCAATCTTGGAGATAAAGTTCTTTTTTCTACTCACAATATAGAAATTCCAGTTAATAAACAAAAAATAATCAAGAAACTCATATCAAAGTTTATAGAATTCTTTGAAATTACCAATAAAATATCTTCTATTATCTACAAAATAACAAAGGTCTGGTTCTTGATCCCTGACAGTATTAAGAATAACTTCGGGAAACTTGGTTAAGCATGTTCAGTGTGAATTTTATGAATGACTCTATTTATTTTTTTTCATGTAATGGTTAAAAATTAGTTGTGGAAGAGGAAACATTTATATAGTTATGGTCTTTAATATCGGAATAAAAATTCGTAAATACAGATTAACTATAATGAAAATATTCATTTGTATGAATATAACCTATCTTTAAGCTCTTTGAGCTCTTTAAGCTCTTGAGCATTTTCCGCAAAAATAATATTTCTTATGTCGATATATTTATTTATATATCTTATGTTGTTCACTACTATATTAAATATATTATTATACATGGTTAAATATTTTATCAGAGATAAATATTTTATTTACATGTATCTTTTAAAAAAATAACGCAGCCTGATACATATAAATTAAATACAAAGGATTGAGCGATCAATGATCAATATATGATGTTTATGGTAATATACATATTTATTTTTTTGAACGATAATTCTTCCTATTAGGTTCCTTCTCTGCACATGCCCTATTCTTTAACAATCCCATGATCATGCCAAGAACCTTTCATACAGCATTACGTAATGTTTTGCATTCTTCGGAGTTCTCATCCAAGGCCTTATTGTTAAATTCGATGGTAAAAGGGACTTCACTTGCCTGAGAGATTTCACCTGGAGAATAAAGCAAGAAATGGCAATTTCTGGCAGTTGTCACAATACCATAGAGGTAGTCGAAATCATCCTCATCAGTCCATTTTCACTTTCTCTTGTTCATTTCATACGAACTTTTCAGTTGCTTGATATTTTGGGCGAAGCCCATTGGGACATTATGCTGTTTGTCTTTCGTGATGCAAATAAGTTCCTCGGAGTCCTAGAAAAATTATTGCAAACCAGCGTTAGTCCACAGCTAAATTCAAGCATCAATAGATGATATCATACCCTTATTGCATAATCAACTCACCCGGAACTTTTTTCTCTAATAATTTCATGTTGAGGACGCATGCTGAGTTCTTTCTTTGTATCGTCCCTGATGATATGGAGTGCGGTATAGAGTATTGACGCAACATACTCATTACACATAGCTTCTAAGCTATCCGGACGTAATGTACCACAATCCCTCAACTGCTTATTGATTTCTGTTATACACTCCTCAAAATATTTATCATTCTCTTGGATTTCACAGGTAGGTGGAGTGAATAGCGGGATTGCTTCTATATTATCAGAGTCGAGGTTATAATCTTTTAATACATCTCTTAAACTCTTGTACGAGAAAGCCTTTAATTTCATCTCCTTACACTCCTTAGCAAAGTCCGCAAGATTTTTCACGGTCCAAACCCCAAACCTAAACCTTGAAACTCTTCCTTACTCATCTTGAGGAAGGCACGACCATTGACCTTTTACTTGCGAATAATTTCCAAGTCATCGTCATCAAGGCCCAAGTCCTCTTCCTTTCGTAAAAATTCTATAAGAGCCTCTGTATTATATTTCTTAATATCGTCCGCTAACGTGATCGAGTCATTTCCAGTGGCAGTGGAAGTAGAGGCAGATGTATTAATTTCAGACATAGTGTTAAGTTTTTATAGGTAGTTTGGCTCGAATAAAAAAATGGTGTTACGTTCGGAGTGAAAAAAATTATTCCTATGAAAAGCAATCGGGGTTAATACATGTATATGGTTTAATATCACACAGAAATGTCGGATGATTAGCTATGTTGCACGTGACCAGTCTCGTAATAAAAACAATACTTTTAAAGCTGGAAAAGGAGATAATGAGGATTATTAATGTTATCTTATGATGCAGTACTTTCCACGAAAACGAAGTCAAGCTATGAAAGCACATGTAAGTAGAATCTTCATACCTTTTCACATGGAGATCTTCCTTGCAAAGGCATAAAGTTAGCTTTATGCCTGGCGATCTCGAAATTGCAAAGTTCTAAGCACTTCATAACATATGGTTTTGTCATCATTATTTACTTACGGGGTAGGCTCTGTGTTGCAACAAACGCTTTTTAACAAGAAAATAAAGGGTAACGAGACTCCGTAGAAACAAAAGTTTAAGTAGAGATGTTATATAATTTATACTTTTGATAAAAGGTGGTAATACAAGTAAAATCATGCCATGTGCTAAAAGTGATATCATGTGCATTTTGTGAATAACACGATTCATACCGTGTGCTCTGTATGAACGTGATATACATGTACAAACATACATGTAATCGAGTTACGAATCAATTTGAAATAAAATTTAATGAAACCACTTTATTGCAGGCATAGAGAACGTTATTTCAATCGTTTATCCTGAGCTTCACATAATTATCATAAGGATATTGGTATTGTGATTGAATTTCATCTACAAAAGATTAACAACTCAATTAATTCAATTCTTTTAAGTTAGTCAAGTTTCATATCAAGGATTAGGGTATACTTTGTCACTTTCATCCTCATCATCTTTGTCTGATAGACTAGGATTTATTATTTCTTCATGATTCTTAATATCTTTTCTTGCATGACCATCAGATTGACTTTTTCGCATCCGTTTTTGATTCTCTTTTATTAGTTTTTTTCTTATTATTTAGCGACAAAGATTCAAATATCAGCAGTCTCTAACAAACCTTTACAGTCATCAGAATGTAGCACAATTACTTGAACTTTGATGCTTTGGCAGCAGCAGCTTTTTTATTTCGCATTTTTCTTATTTAAAAAAACGTGTGTATAGAAGCAACCCCTTTTTATCATTGATTATTCAATTAAATGTCGCATATCGATATACGAGTAAGACTAATGAACACTGATATAATCACGTGTATTATTTATTGAGACACGAGTTGGTAAATACTTTTCATTAATTCATTGGACTCGGTTCAAAGTTGTCCAATTACAGTCAAACCTGGTTATAACGAATTCGACGGGACCAGAGAAAATATTCTTTATAACCAGAAATTCCTTATAACCAAGGTCACTTTTATAGCGAAGATTATAATTATTTATAATTAGGTTCATTATATCCAGATCGCTAGGAACGAATTTTTTTATAATGCTAATTATCATAACATATTGATCAACTTTAGTTAAATTCATATCCGACACCTATAAACAACTTATAGAGGGACTGCTGTATATCTATTTCTAATTATTAAGATTAAAGTCGAAATACTGCTCCAACTGCGTTTGTACTTTTTTAGACATAATATTATTGAGAATACTATTTTTAATGCTGTTAAACTGACGCATCCATTCGAACGAGACTGACATATTATTTTCTTGATTAATATATTTTTGCAACTTCTCAAGACATTCAATCGCCTCCTTGTTGCTTACGTCAATGACTTCACTAGAAGCGTCTTCATCAGTTTCCACTTCTGTATTTTTTCCAAGAACGCAATCAACGATTTCCTGCTCAGTACTTTCTTCATAGTCTTCAATTGACAATAATTTGTCATCAATAGACAAAAAATCGTTCACTGTAACATTATTATCATTTCCTAACAAGTTATCGATGGAATGTTGCATTTGACACTTATCGCGTTGAATACTTTCCTCTAGTTCCGACAAACTAGTCTCGGCGTCGTCATATGATAACGGAAGAATTCCTGTTTTAATCCAACAATTTTTTATAGTATTTGTCATAACCCTATCCCAAGCGGTGGCTGTCATCTGAATCGCATCCAGTATAGAGAGTTTCGAAGGTGATACTCCAGTTTCTATTTCTTTATCAAATTCTTGGATGCGATTTTTGCAAAGCAGTTGTCTATATTTAGCCTGAAAGTACGTTATCAGATTAATAAAACTTAAGTTTTTATACCAAGCATAGAGCATACATTGTTTGTACCTTGAAACTATAAATGATTCCAGCATCACATGGCTGAAGATGAGCAGTTGTATTTTCTGGTAAAGGGTGTATGGTAACGTTCGTAAGGTGGAGATCTTCATCAATTCTGTGATACGGAGTGTTATCGATAAGTAACAATATATGTCGGTTTTGATTTTTCATAATTTGATTTAATTGTTTTACGAAGGTGGACCAAATGGAACGTTGCATCCACGCTTTATTATTCCAGTAATAAAAAACCGGGAGGGTCGATTTCTGAATATTCTTTAATACTCGTGGATTTTCGTAGCGATAGATAAAAGTCGGTTTAATTTTTTCACCCAATGCACTACAAGTAAGCAATATTGTCACGCATTCTTTCGATTTTTTTGTTCCAATGACTACTCCTTTGGATAATGTCCTGTTTGGTTCTAAAAGCCAGAAAAGTGCCGTCTCATCACAGTTGAATACGTTCTTCAACTCGTAATTTTTAATAACATCTTGTAATTGATTTCTGAACTCGGGAAGATTTTCGAGAGGTGCACTATTACCTTCACCCGCTCTCAAGTATTCTCTGACATTATACCTTTTTTTAAATCTATCAAACCACCTGGAAGATGCAGTAAAATTATTTATCTGCAATAATTCTGCAAATCGTCTGGCCTTTTCTTTCATAATATGCCCAGAAATAGTACGATTATAGTGAATAGCTTGATCCATCCATATTGATAAGGATTCTTTGAGTTGAGGCCACGCGGGAGGCCGTTGTTTTTTCAAACTTAATTTAGGCATATCTGAATCAATACTTAACCATTTATCTTTTTCACGTAAAATACCGCTCACAGTTCCTTCACCTATGCTAAATTCACGAGCTAAATCAATACCAGTAATTTTCGGATTCATTTGTTTTTTTAGACATAACTTTTTTTTCTGTTCGCCTGTTAACGCATTACGCTTTAAATTTCACTTTTTTGTATTTAAATTTTCTGACATTATTTTAAAGAAGAAAGACCTTTTCATTATTATCTTGAAGACAATGTGCCATTATAGATTTAGGTAACACTAACGGTTATAACGAATATCTATCTGTTTGTAACGAATTTATGGTGGTACAATTTTTTATAATGAAGGTCGGTCTGTTTATAATGAAGATCTTCGTTATAGTCAATTAGTAGCACATTATGTTGTTCTGCCAAATCTTCGTTATAAGCATTATAACCAGGTTTCTTAATGAAATTCGCTATAGTCAGCCATATACTCAAATTTGATTGGCTTAAGAGAAAATCTTCATTATAAACAGATCTTCGTTATAATCAAGCTTCGCTATAACCAGGTTTGACTGTATATGAAATATTTAACACATATAGCAACTTGACACTTGAATTTTGCGTTCATCAAGTGAAAAACTAAAGGAAATTCGGATACCATTTAGGAACTTGACAAAATTTTAAGATTATCATATTAAAGGTATTATTAAAACAAACTATTTTACGCGTGATCCGATATACGAAAAATAAAATTCAAAGATACATGATCATTATTATTATCGCTTTTGTCAAGATTGCTGTGTGGGAGACTTGCATTTGCGAATATAATAATAAATTTACATCCATTAGATTGAAAGCGAACCAAGTTATACCAACTTTTCTTTTACTTATTACGGCGAGTATCTCGATTCTTCGTAATACAATGTTTCTTCAAATTACAATCTGCGATATATTTGGTATGAAAAGATAATTAAAAAATACCAATTTGCACAAATAAGCGAAAAATGAACCAGAAAACCCTATTAAATACTTGGTCTATTAATAAAGCGATTTAAAGTTAAAGGTAGGAATAAATTTTTTAAGACATCAGTTTTTATGTCACGTCATAAATGCGAAATTTTACACGTGCAATTACACGTCATATACGTAACTTCACAGTCACACACACGCGGGATCTCAGGGACACACCAAGGGCTATTAAGAGATGTGCAAAACATCGAAACCGATTTGGCAACCATTCCATCTCATAGACCACAAGGGAGCAAATAACACGCAATTGGGCCATCCATCTACCTTGCAGTAAGGATATCTTTTCTTTATAAGCAAAGACACTAAAAACTATATACTGTAATAAGAAAATAAAAGAAATAAGATGGAAATAGGTTAGAAGTAAGAGTCAATAATATAATTGTCTGATATAGAAAGCTATTTTGCTTACAGAAATATAAAAATAATAAAACAAAATATCGAGTCTGGATTTAATATTTTGCTACCACGAGCTAAAATATATATTAAAAAATTAAGGATGAGGATGTTTTCCCGCACGGTGAGCACTAAATCCTAACAGGCACTGCTATCAATTGAAAAAAATAAGATATTAGTAAATAATTAATATATATATATATATATGGTACTTACACGTACATTTTTACATGTATTTTGCAGCAGTGGAACCAACAATTTTTCCATCTCAGCTTTTTTTACTTTAAATATACATGTACATGTATCAGCCAATTCATGGAGATCATTAGTTTCGAGAAGAAATTTTGTTACTTTGCTTGCTTGAGACTTTATTCCAAGACTTTAATAAAGAATATATAAAGGTCTCAATTGTTAATTGTAATATTCAGAAATTTGATAGTTACAAGTAAAGTTTAAATAAATAATAAATTACCTTGACTGCAGCTTTAACTTTTGGGAAACGCCTATCGCTATCGCCCAATTTTTGTTTTTGCTCCAAAATTGGTTTAGTTTTGACGCTCGAGAAATTGATCTACTTCCTCATGTACTCATGCTGAACGTTATAAACACAGTTTCTAATCGTTACACTTTGCTCTGGAATGGTTGTCGTTGTCGTAACGGGAGGAGTTGTGATAGATTGATCGTCGAAATCTGTTTTATCACCATAAAAAAATATAGAATTAAAGAAATTGATGAAAAGAAAGAATATCAAATGTAAGTTTGGAACATACAAATTAACACACTTGTAGAATATTTAAAATCAATCTGAAATTCATTTTGATTGAATATAAAAACAAATGTATGTTACCTGTATCAGTTGGGATTGATATTAATTTTGAAGTAAACATTTCGACTGGTGTAAATTACATTTGAGAGGATTTGTTGTTTTTGTTTATATCCGCGGGAATGCTTTTTTGTAATTTCATTTTCAGAAACTCTTTAATTTTCGTAGGAACGCTTTTTTGTGATTTTTTTAATTTTTCTTCAAGCTTCTCAATAGTTGGTCTGTTTTCTGGAATAGGGTCCCAACATTTTTCAATAGTAAATTTGCACCATCCGGGAATATTTTTTGTTATTGTAGGTCGTATTCCTTTATAGATATCGCATACG